TAGGCCGGTACCAGTACAACCAGTCTGAGTCTGGAGCCTGTACGGGTAATATCAAGGTCTGCAATGATGTTTCCCTCCGAAACGGAGGAAGTACCGGTTGCTTGGGGAGGCCGAGCATCCTGGAAGTCACCGCCCAGGAGGCAAGTAGACCGCTATATCAAGAGGTCGGGCGGAGAGCCCAGCCTCATTCTTCAGTGCGCAAGTTTGGCGACACGCTGCTGGAGCGCTGGCTGGAGTGGCGCTGGGTACTATAGCGCTGCTGGGAGGAAGAAGCCGGGAGCTTCCAGCTTGGTTATGGTGGAGCTCTACCGGTAGGAGGAGGGAAAAGGGGACCAAGGAGGAGAGTGGCGAGGCACTTACCTGGCTATGGTAGACACCATCTTCATCTCCTTGCTAGGCGTTGCATCAGGAAGGCCCGCGTTGGGGTAGTGCCGCATCAAGGAAGCTCGGGACAGAGTCAGGCATGGTGGCTGAGTGGGCAGCGGCATAGCTGCTCAGGGTTGTCCTTTGGACAGGAGGCTGAAGCCTCAATAGTCCGCCATAGCCTGGGCCTGAATGTAGAGGAAGAGGATGGGTGGCCATGGCTATGGTGGACCTCATGTTGTGCCTGCAGTAGAAGTGGGATTCAGACATTGATTCTGGTTCAGTCATTCGACATCATTATTGTTATTTCTTGTTTGAATAAGAGGGAGGAGATGAGGAGGAAGAGATTGGTTGGCAAAGAAGAAGAGCCTTGACTTTGGTCTATGCTGGAGTAAATCATCATCTTCTTCTTTCTCACTTCTTCTTCTTCTTCTTTCCCTTTCTTTCCTCTCAAGTTCATTCATTTCTTCTTGCAATTGGATGTCATCGTACTTTCAGATGAATGTATACTTCGAAATGGGCCAGGATCGTAACAAATCTATCAATGTGTGTGTGTGTGTGCTCAACGTGTCGAGCAGTGACGCTCAATGCAAATGCAGCTGATTCATTAAATATGCTGCCCACCTAAGTAGGTAAAAGCTCAAGACCTGGAAAACGGCACATTGAAGCTTGACCTTTCAAACGTGATTTGAAACGCAGCCCTAACATGTCACAAATAGTATTCGCTGCCTTAGGAAGCTGGGGATTCGCCAAGACTGGCCAGCGCCTGCAAATTATGTCTCTATCCACTCCAGCAAACCCAGGCCGGACAAGAGTCCGGCGAACTGGTCAACACATGGGGTTTACCTCCACAATATGAGACCTTATAGGCTTTTACTCATGGGAGACTTACCTTATAAACCTTTCACTCACCTCTTCCATCTCTTTTTTTTTCCTTCTGTTTTATGGGCAACAACCACAAAGACATGCAAGTCGTCTAGCCCATCTATGACAGCATACCAAATCATAACAATACAGCCCCTTTACAGCCAGGCCACTGGGACACACGCAATTCACCCGATAACCCACTAGTACCTTAGCGGGCCTTGGTTGTGCCTCCGACCTTTTCGGATGCCGAAACGAACGACGGCCGCCGATCCGATTTATCAATGGCACCCGTCGTCGGGCCCGACCTCCGATTTTTTATGACTTCGCGAAAACTGCCAACTTTCCCTATTTTCCCAACACTGACGGAGGTACATGCCAAATTACTGCATGTTCTCCTTCATTTGGTGTTTTTGGCTTACTAGAGAGCATATCTGCATATCGTCCTGATCGTTGTTTCTTGCTTACCAAAGTGCTTCCAATTACCCATGAAGTATGCCTCGTGGAATGTCTAAGGGCCTCGCCAGGCCACCTCTTAGACCCAGACCACAAAGGAGAAAAGACCCTAAGTGTAATGACCCGCCAAAAACACAGATTGAGAACACTGCTGGTTTCTGGGATTTCTCGTTGGAATGAATGCCTTGCTGGGATTCCCGCGTTCTGCTGTTGATTTCCACGTTTGTGTGTGTGTTCGTGCCTGCTGGTTTGCGTGCCTGTCTGAGTGCTTGTCGGCTGAGTGTGTGTGTGACCCGCAAGGGTACTTGTTGGTTGAAAGGCCTCACAAGGCCGATACTTACCTGTGGCCGTGACTTTGAGGGTTGCAGCGGGGAAAACACTTGAGTAGCGGGGGTAGGCCCACGACAGCAGAGGGGAAAAACACTCAAGTAGCAGGTATGTCGGTACCACTCAAGTAGTGGTAGAAGTGTCGGGTACTGGAGGCCGAGCAGAAGAAGACAAAAAGTTGGCATTTTTAGAGGCCAGTAGATGTAGGCTAGAGGTAGGCCGGTACCGCACCAAGTAGCCCGGGTCTAGGGCCTGTCCAAACGATAACAGAGCCTGCAATGATGTTCCCTCTGAAAGGGAGGAGGTACCGGTTGCTAGGAGGCCGCTCGGCCTAGGAAGTCACCGCCCAAGAGGCCAGTAGGCCGCTGTATCTTCCGGAGGAGCAAATAGCTCCTCATTTGCGGTGTGCAAGGATTGGCGACATGCTGCTGAGCGGAGCGCTGGGCTGGTACAACGCTACCTGGAGGTGAAGGCAGCCTGGGGGCTCAGCCTGGCTATGGCGAGCAGCCCAGCCTGAGGAGGAGGAAGAAGGGGGCGAAGGAGGAGAGTGGCGAGGCACCTACCTGGCTATGGTGGACACCATCTTCATCACCTTGCTGGGTACTACATCTGGAAGGCCCCAGTTGGGGTAGTGCCGCACCAAGGAAGCTCAGAGTCCCGCATGGCGGCTTAGTCAGCAGCGGCATAGCTGCTTTGGGTTGTCCTTTGGACAAGAGTGCAGCGCCATAGCTGCTTTGGGTTGTCCTTTGGACAAGAGGGCAGGGCCCTCAGTAGTCCGCCATAGCCTAGGCATGTGAGAGGAGGAAGAAGGCGGGAAGCCATAGCTATGGTGGACTTGTTGTTGTTGTTGTTGAGTCAGCAGTAAGAGGGAACTTCGGATATTGATTCTGGTTCATCCACTCATTGTTATTATTATTATTGGGAAGAAGAATAAGATTGGAGAGGTTAAGGAGGAGGAGGAAAGTGGAGAGAGAAGGGGGGATTTGTCATTGGTCTTGCTGGTGTACATCTTTTTCTTCTTCTTCTTCTTCTTCTTCTTCTTTCCCTCTCCTCTGGTCTCTATCTCTTTGCAAGTGCTTTCATTTCTTTCGCAATTGGGTGGCATTGTCTTTCATTGTGAATTTGCACTTTGGGAATGACCAGGATCGTAACAATTGGTATCGGAGCGGACTTACTTGCTGGCGAGAGGTGTTAGTCACCCTAAACCTAATTCCGGATTAGGTTAGGGCTAACCTAATCTCAGATTAGGGTTGGGAAGTTAGGGTTAAGAGGGGCGGTGAGGTATGTGGATACTGCCCTCACCTGGTTAGGTCATGTAGGGTCGACATCAGACCTGACCAGGTTGCTTGAGTGATTGGATGGGGTGGCGGGAGTAAGCGAGAGGGAGTAGAGAGTGAGAGGTACTCGCACCTGGAATCTGCACTTCAAGAAGACATTGAGTGACTTTTGGGTTTCCCCTCAAGAGGGAGACTTGATCGGAGGCTGCCATATCTGCATCGAAGAGCTGCAAGTTGCTACTTTGGTCTTCAGACATCGACGGGGGATCCGGCGTTGTAACAAGGTGTTAGTCATTCTAGGACACTTCGTGTAGTGGTAGCTAGGGGTCAGGAGGACCTATGAGAGAGGAGAGTGAGTCGTCATCCATCTTTGGAGGTCGGGCCTCACAGGTAAGTGTCGTGCGACCTGGTTATGCCCGTGGGAGGTTGCTTGGTGGTTCATGGCCTGTTGGGGTGTGCTGGGCTCTCTTCCTCTTCTCTGCGGTCTTCGTTGTGTGTGTGAGCATGTGGATTGCTTTCTCAACTGATGGATGGATGCATGGTGTATCTTGTTCACAATGACATATCATCCTACGATGCATTGTCTTTTCATTTCTGAACGGCTGTAGGGGGTAAGTTCTTGCTGAAAGTTGTCTTTTCCTTTTCATTACGGTRGAGGCAGTTTGGGACTGACTTGGTACACCTATCTCGTTGGTCCTGGTCCACGACCTACTTGGGACCTTCGGGACTCAGTGGGACCAGGCCCAACGGGACAGGACCTTTAGGGCCCAAATCTATTGCCGTCAATGCATCTTTTTGTTGTGCTGAATTTGGGGGACATACAGCCAGCAAGGGCATTCCTTTTAAGGGGATCTTGACTGGTCTTACTGCATGTTCTCACATACTGCCCAGCGTCTGGCTCGGCGACCGTCTGCACCCCTCGAAATCTCCATTGCTGCAGTTAGTTTTTTTCGGCTGATTTATTGTGGTACATGTACCTTGTCAGGTTAGACAAGAGGGGATCTCCAGCTAATCTGATCGGGCCCATTCGATAAGTCAGTCCTCTCTTTCGTTTTTTTTTTTTTTTTTTTAATTCTGCTGCGTGAATGCCATTCTCGAAGTCCAAATGAATTGCTGCTCCGGCTAGGAGTTCTACTCGGTGATTTATTTTTCATTCGTTTATCTAAATTATCTATGTCCGGTATTGAGACGCGTGCGCAGAAAGCGAAAAGAGAGAGAAGGGAAAGAGGTGTTCTTTTTGAGAGTGTGAGGAAGGGTAAGAGGAGTGTTCGTCCTAAAGTGAGCAAAGTGTGGACCCCTCTTGAGAGAGCTACTGACACCCCATCCTCCGGCATGGCAGACATCACGTCCGAGCAATGGAAGGCCACGCTGGACGCAATGGCCGAGAATGATAAGCCTTTCTTCCATAAACTTTATGAGAACGCAATAAACAAAGAGAGGGAGGCAGAGGCAGCAGCCAGAGCCACAAGTACTGCTGAACAAGTGGCCCTCCTTGAGGTTCCGGGATCGAATGATGACCGGTTCCAAGAGAAGCTAGTTGCTGCCGTAGCAGCCTAGGTTCAACTACGAACCTTGGAAGACCTTCAGTCCCGTATGACAGCCCTGAAGCAGCGGAACCAAGAGCTGCAGGCTGGGATAGTCAGCCTCAAACAGTCCCAACTGTCTGCCACCCGTCCTCCTAACCCTCGACCTGCTGCAGTCCCAGTCTCTCACCCTAACACAGTCCTCATGACGAGAACAAGTGGAACTGTGACGAGCGCAGGAACCGGTGCCAGCTCCTCAAGCGGCAGCGCCGGCAGTTCTGCACTGGTCATAGTCCCAAATGCAGGAACATCAGCCCAAAACGTCGCAGTCCTTACTGGCGTTCAATACAGCGGTCCCGTACTCGACAAGAGGGCGGCCACGCTGTCGTCCAAGTACGACGGGAAGGGGGATATCACCTCTTGGTTTAGCTCCATGCACTCGTACTTCGAGGTACTGCGAGCACTGCAGGAAGACCAAAGCATGATCATGGGCACAAATACTGAGCCCGCCGTACAGAGTTTCATAGAACTCCAAGCTGTTACTGCAGGTTATGAGAGGATTGACCTGAACGAGTGGCTGAAAGTGACTCCTGTACGTACTCTTGAGGACCTCCTTATCGCGCAATATCAAGATAAGCACGTTGCGCTCAAGGCAAGGCTGAAGCTTGAGGCCCTCAAGGGCCAAACGTGGAGGACTTCCATGCAGGCTTTGGAGCAACTCTTGACTGGGTCTGTTCACCACTCCAAACCTGGGATGGACTGACGTGTCTTGCATGGATGTAGTCATGGGAGTGGCTCCTAAAGAATATGTCTCCCGGCTAGGACTCAAAGACCATACGACTTGGCGAGAGCTACTGACGAATCTAGTCAATCTAGAAGCCAAGGACCTCGCCATATGGAAAAAGGGACCCGCTGCAGGTAGAACCTCGCAACGCAAGCTGTACGGAAGCAACAACAAGCTTGCCCTGCATGAACATCGGGAAGCTGAGGATCAGTCCTATGTGGATGATCTGTCTTTGGATGACAATCTAGAGCCGGACTCCAACGTGGCCTGTTCTACATCAGCCCTCGAGTCGGACATGAATACTGAAGAAAAATGTAATGCCTTTAAAAAGACTGCTTCAAGCAAGGGGCCTAACCGTAGTTCGGGTAAGGGAACTATAGCACACCTCCCCAAGAATGCAAAGATCCTTGAGAAACCGGAGGATGCTTCTACCAATCCTTGGGAAGCCCTCCGCATCAGTCAAAAGGAACGGGAGAGAAGATCCAAACTGCGCGTGTGCTTGCATTGTCAAAAGTCTGGGCATGCTATGCAGGACTGTTATTGTCTGCAAGGAAACAGGCAAAGGGCGTACAAGAGTCATCAACACTCTCTACAACAAGGGAAGTTGACCAGTTAGTTGCAAGCCCCTCCATGGAGCCTGAATCTGATCAACAACCTGCTCTTGAAGCCCGGACCGATGCTGAATCCAAGGCTGCTGCAGTTCAAGTATTGTACATTGAGCCTTGGGAGGAGACTAAGGAAGTCGATGTCCACTCTCACCTGGAACATTGGCTGCAGCTCAAGCAGCAACGCCGTGTTCAAGGGAGTGTGGAACTGACCTTCTTTACGTTACTCATTAACTGCTGATACATTCGTGTGCTGATTGATAGTGGCTCAACGACTAACTTCTTTTCTCCAAACGGGATTCGTGAGGTGGGCCTGGGAATGAAGCAAGTGGAATTGCAAAACCCTTGTCAGACCCAGGTAGGCAACCAAGAGGTTGTCACCTCAACACATGCTGTCAAAGGTGTGCGCGTCACTTTTGACAAGAATCGCACTATCATACATGAGCTGAACTTTTATGTCATGGACAAGTGTCCTTTCGACACGGTCATTGGCTTGGGCTGGTTAAAGGCTCATTGCCTAAGGACCACGTGGGAGGATAATCAGTTCGTGGTGCGTGATGCCAAGGGGAGCGAGCGTACCGTTCTATTGGACAAGACGCGCGAGTCCCCTGTGACTCTTTTGAGTGCAACCAAATTCTGCAAATTAGTGCGCAGACGCAAGGAAGCTGAGCATGTGCATGTAGCCCTTGTAAAGCCTGCCTTCTACTTTTGCTGCATTTTCTACCTCGGAAAGTAATTCTACTTCTACTACCTCTACTACTACTGTAAGAAATCAGTCTACTTCTGATCCAAGTACTTCGAGTTCAATTGTAATTGCTGTAAATTCTCAATCTGATTTTCTCTCTCCTGACGAGGATAATCCTCCACCGGAAGTACCATCAAACATTCGCCGTCTATTAGATCGATTTCCTGAAGTTTTGGTCGAACCTCGTGGCGTTCCCGAGCGTCCGGTTAAACACAAGATCGAGATAATAGAAGAGAGTGTTCCTCCAAAGGGCTGCGTCTACCGTACAGGACAAGGCGAGTTGGGGGAGTTGAGGATTCAAATTGATGACATGATTGATCGTGGATGGATTAGGCCTAGTGAGTCTGAGTTCGGTGCACCTGTCCTGTTTGTGCCGAAGAAAGGAGGCAAACTCCGGATGTGTATTGACTATCGTGGCCTAAACCGTATCACCCGAAAGAACGCTTATCCCTTGCCACGCATAGATGATCTGCTAGATGTTGCAGGTGGGTGCAAGGTCTTCTCCAAGATCGACCTCAAGTCTTGCTACCACCAGATTGAAGTTGATCCGAGTGACCAGTACAAAACTGCATTCAAAACACGCGATGGGCTGTACGAATTCATCGTTATGCCCTTCGGTCTTACGAATGCACAAAAAACGTTTAAGTGCCTTGTGGACAAGGTCCTTCGCCATCAGCTTAACAGGTTTGTTGTTGTTTACTTCGATGACATCCTGATTTTCAGCAAGTCCATGGAAGAGCACGTAAAGCACCTTGAGGAGGTTCTGCAGGTCCTCAAGGAAGCACAACTGCACCTCAACTTAAAGAAATTTGAGTTTGGAAGGGACATCGTCATCTATCTTGGGCACCGGTTGTCTGCAAACGGCCTTGAGCCGGAAGCAACGAAGGTTGAGGTCATACGAAAGTGGCCTTAACCGGCAAACGTATGTGAATTGCGTTCTTTCCTTGGTTTAGAATCGTATTACCGGAAGTTTGTGCCCAAATTTTTTGTCATTGCTCACCCACTCTCGAGACTAACAAGCAAGAATGTTGCCTATGCGTGGTGTGAGAAATGTGAGACTGCGTTCCAAGCCTTGAAAGAGGCTTTGGTAAGTCATCCTGTGCTCTGCATTGCGGATCCCAACCTCACGTTCATGGTCACTACGGACACAAGCCAGTATGGGATTGGTGCAGTGCTGCAACAAAATGATGAGGGGATGGCCTGCGTCCGCTCGAATATTACAGCAAACGCATGCCCAGCCACAAGGTAGCTACTTCCACGTATATGCATGAGCTCTATGCCTTGCGCGAAGCGCTCACACATTGGAAGTACTACCTCTTGGGTCGTCACTTCAAGGTCTACTCAGATCATCAGACCTTGCAGTGGATAAAAACACAAACTGATCTCTCTCCGACGCTGACCCACTGGCTGCATGACATTGATGTTTACAACTTTGAACTGAAACACAAGAAAGGTTGTTATAACCGTGTTGCTACCGCTTTGTCGCGCCATCCTAAGTTTTTGACTTGCCTTTTGGACTCATATGACCTCCGAAGGAAACTGAAGGAGGATCTGGTCGAACACACTGCCAAGGATCTAGACCTTAGTCCCATCCTTGAGCAGCTCGAGGTTGGCCCTAGTAGTCAGCCTGATTTTCACGAGTGTGAGGGTCTTGTATTCCGCCGGTATGGGAAGTTTGATCGTTTGTGTGTACCCAACCATGCGCCTCTCCAGACTCATTTCTTGGATTTGGCACATGGTCGGAGTGGGCACTCCGGCTTTGAGAAGACTTATCGAAGTCTTTTGCAGCAGTTTGATTGGCCGACAATGAAGGTATCTGATCATAAATTTATTGCTGAATGTCAAGTTTGTCAAAGAACCAAGGTCCATAGGCATAAGCCTTATGGCCTGCTGAAACCCCTCCCAACCCCTAATGGGCCCGGTGAGTCGGTCTCGATCAATTTCACGGACATGGGGAAGGTGAGCGAGGGAGGACATTCACAAGTCATGGTCATTGTGGATCGTTTTTCCAAATTTCTAAATCTGATTCCTCTACCTCCTCATGGACCAACTGAGCTTGTGATCGAAGAATTTCACCAGCAGTACATTTTGCAGTATGGACCCCCGAAAACTCTTGTGAGTGATCGGGACACCAGGTTCATGAGTGCTGATTAAAATGACTTCACTCGCAGATCTACGACATTAAACTCAACAAGGCTTCTGGTCGACACCCCGAAGCCAATGGATTGGCTGAGGAAATCAACCAGACTGTCATCCAATTACTGCGCTCGTTAATTGTTTCGGATCAGAACACGTGGGACAAGGAGTTACACAAAGTGAAAGGGTTGTACAACAACTCTATTCACTCCGCAACTGGCGTGACACCGAATCAGCTGCAATATGGTTGGCAGTTGCGCAATCCTCTCTCCTATTTGTTCCCCGAACGGTCCCCTGGTCTGACGCCCGGCATGCCTGGCTACAATGCCAAGTATGCACGCAAGCGTCAGCATGCCATGATCAAACACGCTAACAAGTCGCGCAAAGAAGCGAACTTCAAAGCAAGCAGTTATGTATGGGTCAAAATGTTTGAGTTTTCTGACGAAGAGGGCGTATCACGAAAGCTTCTTCCATTGTACTATGGCCCTTGGCAGGTTCTTAAGGTGATTGGGGATGAATTTGGTCCTTCGTATGTGATTGACGTGCCTCCTCATCTGCGCACATATCCGGTCTTTCACGTGTCCGCACTGTTTCCACACATCGATGATGAGACTTTTCCCTTCCGAGATCCTATGATACCTCGTCCTATCGACGGCGGCCATGAGATAGACATAATCGTTTCCCATGAAGGAAGAGGGAGGAACAGACAGTACAAGTTTCACTTCCTCTATCACCCGTTGAACGAGTTTTCTGGATCGACCGAAAAGAGCTGCTAAAGAATGCTCCTGGAGTGGTTAACGCCTATGAGCGACAGATCGCCGATGGACAGACTGCTAAGTTTTATGGAAGACTCACTCCTCACGGTGTTACTAAATCTCTCTTTCTGATCTACGCCTACGATGCATTTTGTGTCGACTCTGAATGAGTTACTCGCTCGAAGGGACCTCGCTCTCGAGAGGGGGGTACTGTAATGACCCACCAAGAACACAGACTGAGAACACTGCTGATTTTTGGGATTTGCCACTGGAATGAATGCCTTGCTGAGATACCCGCGTTCTGCTGTGATTTCCACGTCTGTGTGTGTGTTTGCTTGCTGGTTTGTGTGTCTGTCTGAGTGCTTGTCGGCTGAGTGTGTGTGTGACCCGCAAGGGTACTTGTTGGTTGAAAGGCCCCGCAGGGCCGGTACTTACCTGTGGCCGTGACTTTGAGGGTTGCAGCGGGGAAAACACTGGAGTAACGGGGGTAGGCCCACGACACTTAGAGTAGAGGGGAAAAACACTCAAGTAGCAGGTAGGCCGCTACCACTCAAGTAGTGGTACAAGTGTCGGGTACTGGAGGCAGAGCAGAAGAAGACAAAAAGTTGGCATTTTTAGAGGCCAGTAGCTGTAGGCTAGAGGTAGGCCGGTACCAGTCCAAGTAGCCCGGGTCTAGGGCCTGTCCGGACGGTAGCAAAGCCTGCAATGATGTTTCCCTTCGAAAGGGAGGAGGTACCGGTTGCTGGGAGGCCGCTCGGCCTAGGAAGTCACCGCCCAAGAGGCCAGTAGGCCGCTATATCTTTCGGAGGAGCAAGTAGCTCCTCCTCATTTGCGGTATGCAAGGATTGGCGACATGCTGCTGAGCGGAGCGCTGGGCTGGTACAGCGCTACCTGGAGGTGAAGGACAGCCTGGGCGCTCAGCTTGGCTATGGCGAGCAGCCCAGCCCGAGGAGGAGGAAGAAGGGGGCGAAGGAGGAGAGTGGCGAGGCACCTACCTGGCTATGGTGGACACCATCTTCATCACCTTGTTGGGCGCTGCATCTGGAAGGCCCCAGTTGGGGTAGTGCCAGAAGCTCGAGGAAGAGTCCGGCATGGCGGCGTAGTCAGCAGCGGCATAGCTGCTTTGGGTTGTCCTTTGGACAGGAGTGCAGCGCCATAGCTGCTTTGGCTTGTCCTTTCGACAGGAGGGCAGCGAGCTACAGCGCGGCAGCGCTTACGCAGCACGCAACCAGCACCCGAATGCCCAATGTGGAGGCAGGCCCTTTGCTATATCGAAGTGGCCTGCCTGTGTTCAGTCCCAGGAAGCTTCCAGTAGGCCCCGGTAGCCTGAGGCACAGCACGAACGAGAACAGGCCTTGGGCCTGAGGTGGTTGCATGCCCCCAACTGCCTTTGGCCTGTGTTTGGCCCAGTACCCGTATCCAGCCCAGGGCCTGCTTTCGGCATACTGCGTAGCCACACGGGCCCTGCAGGGCCCGTCCCGGACATTCAGCCTAAAAGCCTAAAACTTCGGGCTTACAGGCCCCGTTCGTTTCAACCTGAAAGCTGAAAAACGAGGGCCTGCAGGCCCTACTCCGTTTCAGCCAATTTCTGGGTCTTTCAGACCAAGAGGTTTTCCAGCCTGAAACGGAGGGCCATTTTCAGGCCCTCGTTGTTTCAACCGCCCCTAAGACTCAGGCACGTAAATAGGGATGCGGAACAGGCCAGAAATAGCCTGTTCCTCACGAGCTTGAGCAGGAGCTGCAGCTGCAGCCCCTGCCTCCCTTCGGCATTGGCAAGAGCAGCCTCCTGAACTGCTCGCACGGCTCAGGAGGCACACCCGGTAGTACATAGGAAGTTCCCATGCACTTCACGGGTAGGTAGTTGGCAGTAGGCACGGGTAGTCTTCAGGATTTCGGCCGCAGCACTCAGGAGGAGCGCTGCAGTAGTCTTCAGCGCTAGGCAGTAGTATGAGCGCTAGCTGTAGTCTTCGGCGCTGGGCGCCATAGCCATAAAGTAGTCTTCAGAGCTGGGCGCTGGTAGGTGGCAGATCGTAGAGTGGGAGAGATACTGGCGGAGGCCAGTGGTACTTACCTGTGGCGCCATCGCTCCAGCTCCATCTTCGTGGTACCTGCATCAAGGCGCCAACTTCACAGGTTAGTACTGGACACAGAGAGAGAGAGAGTTCTTCCACCATCTCTCCTCACCCTCTCGCCACCTGACTACTCAGACTATGACAGAGAGAGACAGAGTTGTAACTTGAGACTTGACATTTGGGATTCAGACATTTCGACGAAGGACTATTTGGGCCTGTGCCGAAGACTCGGTGTTGACGACATTCCCATCTTCCCCCTCATCTTCGTCTATCCCCTTCCTCTTCGTCTGTGTATGGTATGGGCTGGCGCAGTCTTCCTGTGTGAAGCGCCAG